ACAATGAGGAGGCATTTGAAAAGGACATGCCTCAACTTCCTTTTTCTGATAATGATTACAAATTCGTCATCTTCACTATTTTATATCAAATTCAAGGACTCATGTTCCATCAAAGGAGATGGGAAATGGAATTAAAGAAAAGCAGACTTATGTAGACTGAAATGAGTCACAGCTCCCAGCCCCAAGGAAGCAAATAAGCCTATCTCAACTTCTTACCCTGGAAATAAACCGTAAGTCTTAATTTAAATTTGAAGTGTTCATAGGCACACATATTTTGAGATAACTGTAATTTTTAACTGGTCATTTATTAAGAATTAGATATATGAATTAGAACATATAATTACAACAATAACAGCTGTAATTATGTAGCATCTATTTTATAGTAGGCTTGGTATTTTATACATTTTATTGCTAATCTTTAGAAGCATTTATTTTATTTTATTATTACTATTTTTTGAGACAGGGTCTTGCTCTGTTAGCCAGGCTGGAATACAGTGGCACAATCTTGGCTCACTGCAGCCTTGACCTCCCAAGGCCAAGTGATCCTTCCCTCTCAGCCTCCCAAGTATCGGAGACTACAGGTATGTGCCACCACACCTGGCTAATTATTATTATTTTTTTGTAAAAATAGGTCTCCCTATGTTGCCCAGGCTGGTCTCAATCTCCTAGACTCAACGGATCCTCCTGCCTTGTCCTCCCAAAGTACTGGGATACAGGTGTGAGCCACTGTGCCCAGCCTCAAGGGAAGTATTATTATGCCCATTCCAGAGACATTTTAGAAAGTACTGAAAGCTCAGAGTCGTTAGCCTGAAAGACCATAAAGCTAATCAAGAAGAGCCAAGGCCAAAAGTCAACGCCTCTACACTACAAAGCTACTCATTTCCTGACTCTAGGTGACAGCTATCCAGAAAAATTATCTATCTGTGGATCTACACTTAAATATAGATCCACTGGTTATATCCATTATTATGATCTAATGGGAAAAGAGAGCATTTTAATCCCAAATGCCTGACGACATGCTCTTGGTCAGCTGAGAAGAAAAATCAGGCAGAACTACTGAGGAGAGCTAAAGGTACATCTATACCCCAACGGTACCACTGACTTTCACAAAAGAGAGGTAGGGAGTGCTGGTGATATACCTATGAAAAGTCCATATTTCACTGTCAGGATAGCAAACCTAAGGACATATTGGGAACAATAATTAATCCCCCACTGAACTCAGTGAACCACGGCCAGTGCTTAGGATGGGTCAAAGCAGGACAGATAAGCATGACTGTCATGATTCTTCTTAAACAAGGGTCTTAAGAAATGGCCAAGTTTAAAAAAGATGGTCTATAAAAAGCCATCAAAGCCAATATTCAATGAATTGTCCTTACATACAGACATTATAATCCAGACTATGACATATATTCAGTTTATTTAATGTATTAAAATCATGCAGGAAACACTGTCAAATACAATATGGTATTTAACTTTCTTTTGGTTATATTCATATAAATTCATTATTAGTATGTGTTACAAAATTGTGTAAGATTCCTATGATTCTGATATGCCTCAATGTATGTCATCAGTAATAATTATAATTGTTATGTTGAATTATTGTGTGCCACAGAGGTAACAAATTTCCTTGTCAATTGTATCTTTGACTGTGGCTTCCCTAAAATGTTTTTGTCATCTATAGACAATTGTTGTGTTTGGTCCTCCTTAGAAGATGGCTTTAATAATGAGTTATACAACTTTAATGGGTGCTCTTGAATGCAAGTTTCTAATAACTTTGGAGACATGACATTAGAAAAAAGGAAAAAAACTTTCAGGACCCTCATGGAGAGCTCAAATGTTTATGAATATCTCGCAGAACAGGCGTTAACTAAATGGACTGAACAGAAAATTGAAGTAAATTTTTTTCAATTTTTTGTTGCTTAAAGTGTTGCTGATCCTTTTTGTTTTTCAGACACAAAAATACTTTTTTTGAGCTATTTCCAGCTTTTAATAATTGAGAAAAGTATATCCCTCTGAACAAAATTTAGAGCATATTTGTTTCTCTCTACCCAATTTCTCCAGAATTTAAAAACTATGTGTAAGTGTTCTTAGCTTATGGCAATAATATAGTTATTTGCATAAGTCCAATAAGTATGTTTACTTTTGAATAGGACACAGTTGGAGAAACTGGTTATTTTACCAAAGCTTTGACTGGAATGGCATGCTTTCCTTTAAGAAATCAAACTTGACTTACAAAGCCAATAATAGCACCTTAGAAAAACTTGCCTCAGACCTTGCCTTACACAGTCCCTCTATACAGGGTTCCTGATCTGTAGTAAGTAAAGACTGTCCCTTTCTGACAGCCCCAGGAGCCTTAAGTTACCTTGGGAACTCAAGAGGAGAGAAATTTACCCAACTCATAGGTATTTGAGGGTACAAACCCATGACTGGGCTTGGCTTTAAAAAAGCCGTATCTGAGATTCCTTATGGAACAGAGTTTCATCAAAGCCAATTTAAAAAGCCTATGTAAAAAATAATTATTCTTGCTGTACTTTATGCAAATAATCAGGCCAAGTATAATAAAATTAAAGTTTATTTTGTAAACAAATCAGTCTTATTATTTTTAATAAAAATAAGGACTGGAAAGAGAAAAACTATGTTCCAAAAGCTATAGTATACCTGTTATTAGTTGTTTTTGAATTTTTATTTTTCTTCAATTTAAACTAAATTCTAATTTTGGTGGACTCCAAGTCTCCAAACTAACGCTTTCACATCTTTACTTTTAAAACTGAGAATTGTAATTCTTCTAAATAAAACTCATTATTTACCTTAAGCACTGTCTGCTTAAATGCTGTACTAAAACTAGAGATGAGAATACTAACGTGTTGTCATGAAAGCCTTGAAACCCCAGCCTGGCCTGCTTGAGTACGGTCAGACAGCTCAAAGCGGTTCCACTCCTCTCACCTTGGGTCAACACCTACCCCACTATGCCCCCATCAGCAGGAGAAAGCCAGAGTGATCGATGGCCTTTTCCCATCTTCATAGGCCACACTTCAAGAATAAAGTGCTATGAAACTCAAAGGGAGGAATTGCAACAGCCTTTGCAAAAATTATAACTGAGAAAATTATTACAGTAAAGGAGATCAGACTCAACCAACTTCTCCATCTTGCTTCTAACCTTTAAGCTATCCTTGTTCATTCCCGGATGCAGGCCAAACTAAATTTGGGAAGAAATTCAGTTCATGGTTTAACTCTGAAACAAAACTGGTATTAATTAGCCTTCTCCTTAAAAGCCTCCCTTCTTGGCTGGAGACCAGTCTGTCTTTGCAGGACTAACAATTAGCTACAGGATTACAAATTACAGTTTAGGGGTCATGCAACCTTTGTCTCCAAGAAACTGAAACTCCCCACAGTTTCAGGGATAACATCACTATTGTACAACCTAAGATCAGTGCTTAAGGAATTTTGCAGAACTTTCACTGGATGGATCAGCTGACACCACCCAGACTGGTAATCTGGCTCAACCAGTTCTGCCATCCCACCCAAAAATAGAAGACGGCAAGAAAACCTCACTTCAACCCCTTATGATTCCAACTCCAACCTTACCAATCAGCACTTCCCACTTCCCAAGCCCCCATCCACCAAATTATCTTTAAAAACTTTGATTGCCAAATGCCTGGGGAGGCTGATTTGAGTAATAATAAAACTCGGGTCTCCCACACAGCCAGCTCTGCGTGAATTACACTTTATTCATTGTAATTCCCCTGTCTTGATAAATTGGCTTTATCTAGCCAGTGGGCAAGGTGAACTCACTGGATGGTTACAGTAGGTCTGAAAGAAAACTATACAGTTTAATGTAGGTCTCTCCTTTTGCTTGGAAGTTATAGAAAATTCTACCTATATCAATTTGTGTATTAATGCTTTCACCACTGAATCTGATTTCCAAGATTTACTTGGTGGTTCATGTCAACAAACAGCATGTTTCTACAGTTATTTTGTTAAGCTTTCTTTGTAGGCCTTAAAGAAAAACCACATAGGTACAGTAACAATTTTCTAGGTCATATGGTTTTATCTAAAGTTACTGACTGACTTAATCAAATAATCCTAGTTGAGAAATGTTTCCCTAAAGAAAAAAGCAGATCAGAAATAACAAATGAGCTAAACAGTTCTATTTGCAACTTCTGTGCATGTAATGTACATAAAATATGTAAATAAAAATTCAAATGCAAGTACCTACATTATAGCATTATCCCGAGGAGCTTCATAGTAAAAGGGAAAAAATTAATATGATTTAGAGATTAGAAATATCTACTAATATTGTAAGGCATCTGGGTCATTATATAAGCAAGAAAAGCCATTCTCTCTTACTTGCCTGAGAAATATTAAAATATTCTATGTTATCAAATGGAAGTGAATGTTGATTTGCATTCACTAAAAATCACGTACTAACCGGAAAGTGTAATTGTGGTTAGCTGGGTTTCTGTGCCTCTTACCTGGGGCGGGGTGGGGAATAAGAAAGGTAATGCCTTCTGCAATTGGCAATAATCTCCTAGGTATTTCAGGTATACCAGTGGAAAACACAACAACTACAGAGTAGAGAAGGGCAAAAGAGAAGTAAAAGAAAGACAGGCCTGGGTAGGAACCTCAAACGCAGTATTCAATCGTGTTGAATTTAACAGAACAAAGTAATTCTTTTGGGAGGTACTTTGCTTCCCTTCACCACCCCATCCCTAAACAAATGGGCACAGGGCAATTATCATGTGAAGGGTCATCTCTTAGTTCCAGTCTCAAGATTTGGTAATGCTGAGCCACTTCCCAGGGCTCAATCTGTAACTATTCTGTCTATGCAGACCACCCTTTTTCTCTTACTCAGAGGATTCAGTTCAAAGGCATTTGTTTATCTTGGAGCAATTAAGAATCATATATTATCAAGGATTTTGAAGAAAATACTTCCCTCAGCATGAGCAGAAAACAAAGCTCCTTGCCAGCCACATGCCAGCCACCCCTCACTGGGGCCTTACTTGTTCTCGTTGCTTGCATCGTAACGAGGCATTGGGTCCAAGTCATTTCCATTCACGTCACAACTTGCCAGAGCATCCTATAGCCACAGAGGAGAAAGCAAGAGGAAGGAAATGGTCATTCATTAATTAGCCATTGACCCACAGGCTCATGCATTTTTAAATACATTTCTGCAGGAAAGTAATTAGGTTAACTAATACGCTCACGGTTCGGTGGTGTCAGGATGCCTTAGGGAGGGAGTGCTTGTTCAGTAATAATTACTGCTGTATTTTTCCCTCTTAAGGTGAAGAAGAAGTCCACACAGACCATAGAACTGCCTGGTTCATTCTTGCCAGCACTTTTCCCCTCACAGCTAGAAAGATCCAGTTCATGAAATGTGTATCTTTCAAAGACAATCCTCTACTACCTTATCTCTGAGGTACTCCTTGACTATCTAGGCACAAAGTGATTTATTCTCCATAGACTCTCTCCCCACTCTTAATTGATTCCTTGAGTTTGCAACTTCCTTATTATAATATAGATTTCAGAAGACAAAAATCATTCACCTATCACTGGCAAGCCAATTAAAAATCAATATTAGATCTTCATTATGTCAGGTATCTTAGGACCTCTATTAGAAAACACTCGTCTGGTTTCAGATATTGTAGATACAATAAATATTATATATATATATATAATATTTATATATATTTATATATGATATATTTATATATATACACATATATATATATCATATATATATATATATATATATATATATATATATCATATATATATTATAAAGGCCTCCACGATTTAAACATTCTACTAACACCCATTGGCTTTTGGACTAACCAAAATGAGGAGTTTTCCTGTACTAAGATTTCAAAATGAGGAAATACTATCTCCAAATCCAAAGTTGGATTTGCTTGTTTGCTTTTAAAAATGATTGTGAAAAATATCCAAATTACTAAAAAAAAATTACTAGACTGTTACCATTGATCAAATTTATATCACTGTAGCTAGCCTAATTTAACATGCTTTGAATTTTCTTTGATTGATTGATTGAAACAGGGTCTTCCTCCGTCACCCAGGCTGCAGTGCAGTGGTGTGGTTGTGGCCTGGCTCACTGCATCTCATCTCCCAAGGCTTAAGCAATCTTCCTGCCTCAGCTCCTGAGTAGGTGGAACTACAGGCAGGTGCCACCATGCCCAGCTAATTTTTTTACTTTCTTTTAAAAAAATTAATTATTTTGGCATTTTAATAATTCAGTTAGAGGTATTTTTCATAATTTGATAGAAATCCTGAGGGGCATTCATTTTAGTGCAGTGGAACATTTTTATAGCAATTCTGGTTATCTGAGTACTTAATAAATGCTTACTTCAAGCATGGGCATGATTTCTGCCCTAAGTCTTTTTCAGTTAAATTTCCTAGGAAAGATACATGAATATAAGGAAAGAAAAGAAGTGCTCAGAGGGCATACAAGAGATTAAGACCACAAATATATGGGGTTACCAGAATAATTTGGCAGAAGTTTCTTTCTATTTAGGTTAGTTGGCTTTAAGAAACACATATAGATAAATAGTATAGGAATATAGGTGCAGGGTAAAATGGTACCCCGTATCTTAATATTAAATGAAAAATGGGCTGCTTCCTCCTTCTAGCCTGGAATAATGTGGTGTTATTGACATCCCTTCGAGTATAATCTGGCTTATTTTCAGTTCCGAGGGTCTGTTGAGTGACTTGGTCTCTCTCTCTCTCCTCATTTTTTTACTTTTAGTAAAGATGAAGTCTCACTGTTTTCCAAGCTGATCTCAAACTACTGAGCTCACGCAATCCGCCTGCCTCAGCCTCCCAAAGTGCTAGAATTATAGGCATGAGCCACTGCACCTAGCCTGAATATTCTTATACTTTATTATTATTCCTAATGTCTATGTTAGTGAAAGTCAACACTATCTCGATGTTCTGTCTTTATCAAAGACTCTTCTTTCTGAAAATAAGTTTTAGTACATAAAGCCTGAAATAGTTAGGGAAGTTAAGCAAAATATACACTGTATATACAGGTGGTAAGTTCCTGTTTCCTGTGCCAAAGAGGCTCTGCAGACTCACTTAGTGTCCTTATAGCTAATGTATCTTACTAATTCTACTGATGAGGAAAAAGAGGCCTGAAACAGAGGACCAACCAAAATGAGGAACAAAGTTTTCCTCGGGTATTTCAAAATAAGGAAACAGTATCTCCAAAACCAAAGTCGGATTTGCTTGTTTGCCTTTAAAAATGGTGAAACAAATCAAGACTGGAAGGAACCCCAGTCTCTGACACCTTACCCAACGCACTTTCTCCACTCCCCACCAGATCCAACATAAGAACCGAGAGGGCACCAATCATGCCAATTGCACAGACCATTCTGGAGAATTTTTTCTCAAGAGGAGAACAATGAAAAAGATAAAAGACTGCACTCACAATGACATGAATGCTATTTGTATTTAGTCAATAGATTCATTTGCAGTGGGGAGCAGCGGCATGCTATAAAACCCTCTGCGTGTGTGACAAGAAAGACATCCCTGCTGGGGAACAGGCAGCCATGGTTTCCGTTCTTCCATCTGACCACGGATAACTCAGTTCAGTCTTCAGGCTATAGTTTATTCTCCTAACAAATGAGGAGACTAACCTGAAGTTTCTTTTTAGCTTTAGAATTCTATTCTGTAAAGAGACACAAGTTTATCGGAGTGCACTTGGATGCAGCAACTCAACCGTTTTGTTCAAATGAGAACTAAATGAGTTTGTGGTTTCTTCTTAAGAAAGGAACTGATTCCTGCACACTCCTGGGAAGCTGATCATTACTGTCTTTGAAAAAAAAAAAAAAAAAAAGAACAGGCACAGAGAGAAAAAGACCAAAGTTTGAAGTACACTTTTCTCCGTAAAAGAAACAGAGTATTGCCTGGCTGGTTGGATAAATTGTTGAGAACAGCGAATGTTGCTGGCAGCAGATGATGTTGGTGGTGGGGTTTCTGCTACCTTATTGCTTTCTTTTTGTAAGTCACGATATCAAAGGCACTGGAAAGTTGAAAGGGTTATCTCATGCTTCCTGTATTCAAAGAACTTATCTTTTACCAGAGAGAAGCAAAACATAATACCCTATTGTATGGTGCTACATTTTTCAGTACCTATCCACCTTATTGATAATCCTAACATGAGTTTCCCTGTTTCCCAGAAAAAGAGATCTTCTAACTGTATAGCATACACTCACGTAGTTTTGCATCAGATCTGGATGGGTTCTCTCAATTCCATCATCCAGAATGGTGACCACAACGTTCTTTCCCGTGTAGCCTCTCTTCCAAGCTCCTTCGATATTCATGTCAGACTGGCAGGGATGTGTATTGTCACTGCAGTGCTGAAACAAGAAGAACATGCTGCAAGATTACTAATTAGTGAGGACATTGAAGAATTACCTATTTCTTTCTTTTCTTTTTTGTTTTCTCTACTGCCCAGGCTGGAGTGTAGTAGTGTGATCAGCTTACTGTGACCTCAAACTCCTGGGCTTACGGGATCCTCCTGCCTCAGCATGACTACAAGCGCATACCACCATACCCAACAAATTTTTAAATGTTTTGCAGATACAAGGTTTTGCTTTGTTGCCCAGTCTGTTGAACTTCTACTCCCGGCCTCAAGCAATCTTCCCACTTCAGCCTCTGAAAGTGCTGTGATTATAGGTGTGAGCCATTGTGCCTGGCTCTACTTCTTAAGATAATGCATTAAATTAAGTAGACAATGTACCAAATTAACAGCAATTTGGTACATTGTCTACTAGATTAGAAACAAAGATCTCCAGCATGAACAGGGGTAGACGGGAAGGAAAATGTGGGAAAAGCAGGTAAAATAGAAATTTCTCCGCCACCAGCTCTGACCTGTTCTGATACCATAAATCTTTTGGAAAAGCATAAAATAAGCAAATTATATCTCAACAGCAGAACAATGATGTATCATTCTACTGTTAGCATGTTTTAATGACACACAAATAGGCATCAGAGCATTTCATTTATAAATCCAAACCAGGTAACTGAAGAACATATACTTTATGATTTCTTAACCAAGAGCCTGGAAGCCAATCCAGCTGCGAACGGAACCACTCAGGCAGCTTCTGCACAGCAGCCAGACGTGTGCTCCTCTGAAAAACTCATGGGCGAGAAAAAATAACAGGTCCGCCACACTTCTTACGCTAAATTAACAACGGCTATTGTACTATAATTTGTAGGCAGTAGACAGATTCATCCAGCACTATTTCTTTGAGAAGGGAAGGAAGAAGAATGCAAAGTCCAGAAAGGTGCCCTACACAGGACAATGTGTGTGAAGGCTTCCAAGGGCAGGCTGTAAAACATAAAACCCAAGCTTATTATGTGTACTAATTTCATTCTGCAATGGCTACAACCATACAAACATACTGAAAACCAAATTAAGCCAGTAGCCTTTCCTGATATAATTTACTAGCATTCATCTAACCCATACAATTATTCCTTTAAAGTCCATGTCTTTGAAATATCCCTCCATGTGATGTTGTTTTCTAGGTTCTTAAGACTCGGGAGAGGAACAAAAGAGGGGAGCTGTGCTGCTACGTAATTCCATAGCAACACGGGCCACGCCAGGTCTTTCTCCATTCACTACTTTCTTCCTGCTTTGTAACAAATAGTTCAGCATATTGGGAATGGAGGAGAATAGAAGCTTAATATGCCCTAAATATAATGGAGGCCTCACTGCCATTGATTCACTTAACACACTCTTCATTGAGTGCCTACTATATATAATTAAGAAATTAGAAAGTATTTATTTTTCAGTTACCTGGTTTGAATTTATATGTTAGGGTACAGCTGTGCATAAGGCAGATGAGGTCCCTGTCCTAAAGGCGAGACGCAGAAGATAAACCACCAAATAAACAAGGCCATTCAGAGAGCTCCCCGTGTTTTAAAGTCTCCTTGTGTTTTAAACAGTGTGATATGATGGTGAATGCTCAGGGCTGTGAGTACGCCACTTTAGATGAGATGGTTGGGAAAAAATCTCCAGTCTCTGCAAATGTAAAATGTGAGAAGGAGCTGGTCTGCCCAAGAGCCTAGGGACACGTGTCTTGGTAGAGGACACAGCAAATGCAGAGATGGTAAGGCAGGAAAGAGTGTTTAACATCTCAAAGAAAGAGAAAGCAGATGAGTATTGCTGGAGCTTAGTGAACAGGGAGAGAATGGCACAGAAGGCAGAAAGTTAGAAGCGGAGGCATGGTCAGATCGTTCAGGCATCGCAGGGCACAATTCGGCTTTTATTCCAACTACATCCTAAGCAGAAGCTTAGATTTCTTTCCAAATCTAAATACATGTGTTCAATAATTTTCATTATGCCCTAAATGACACTGTCTTTTGTTGAATATTACAAATACCTTTGAGTAGTTTCAAGGATTCATTCTAAGAAAGGGTGCACCTATGTTTTCACGACAGACAACATCAATTTCTTAGCGAATAGGGGCTTTTACATTGTTAGGAACATTTGTGTCTTTTCCCTCACCTTCCTGACTTCTTTCTGGCACGTGAGGCCCTGTGCACACACACACTCTACTATTCTATTCTACTAATCTAAACTCTTGCTTCCTTGCGCCTTCAGTTCTTGGAGGTCAGTTCTGGACCCACGCCTTAACACACAGCCTTTTTCAGCCTACCTGGCTTTTTCCCTTCTCTGAACTTAGAAATACACACACACACACACACACACACACACACACACACACTCTCTCTCTCTCTCTCTCTCTCTCTCTCTCTCACTGTGTGTGTCTCCCTGTCTCTCTCTGTTCCATGCAAACCAACACCGACCCAGGAAATTCTGCTGAACCATTGTTGACTGTTGAATCTCGGGTGTGAATTTTGTCTCCCTGACTGTATGTCCCTAGAAGACCATGCAATAAACTAAGTCTCACCTAGGACTTCAGAAATACTGGCTAATGATATCCCATAAACAAGAACGTATTCTCAACTTTATTTCCAGTATGTGTACTGCTCTGACTTCTTCCAAGATACACAGCCAGCTAACACTTGGTTAACAAAGATGGATTAAAAAAATAGTGTAGATGTCTGAAATGCCTCCATTTTTCAGAAGCCTCCTTCTGGCCAAGAGTTTGGTCCTCTCCTCACCAAATATTTTAATTTAACACAAAGCAACCTTGACAGGTTTTGATTCCATTTTCCTTTCAAAACCTGCTGTGGCCACCTGCGGTATCGATTGTGACATGAAGTAATGTTAATGTGGCCAAGAGGTGGGCCGGAGGAAGGAAACGGGTAACCCACAAATGGGATAACCAGCCTGAAGTGGAGGGAGGCTGCCTGAAATTGTAATTACGAAAACTGAAGAAAACCAGCCGTCTATGGAAAACATGTGTGTTAAAAGTGAAGCAACTAGGTTCCCTTCTTCCACCTTTGTTTCTGTGGAATCTGACTTTACCATTAAATATTCTTGTACCACCTTTTTGCTTGTTTTTTTTTAAATGTATGTCACCATGGTAGGAGGTAAAGAAGAGAAAATATCCAACTGATGCTTTCATTTGAACAATCTAATATAGTAAGCAGCCAAAATACAGAAGACAAAAAAGAATGTTAAAGCCTAGGGTGTCTTTTGCAAATGTTAGAAGTAAGGTCAGAGGGCATTTAAATCAGAACTCTAAATCCTGAATGTGAACCTTAGACTGTTAATATATTTCAAGTAGGCCAGGCTTCCAAATGTGTTTGTAATGTAGTTGTTTCGTTTGTAATGTAGTTGTTTCCTATACCTCAAGAATCCAGAGAGCAAAGACTATGGGAAATACTGATGTCACTCGACACTGACCAAAGATTGAAAATGAGTTCATTTCCTTAACCGCCTAGTTGAAACGGTCTTTAAACTAGGCCCTTTTTACTTGCCAGGAATCTATGTTACAGCAGCACCCAGAGGCAAAAGGAACACATATTAGCCATGATTCCCTCATACATCATCAACCATGGTGAGAAGGTCTCTGCCAGAGCTGCAACTAAAGAGTGCCTGAAATTTTATTACCACACATGCAGCCCACAGCATGGTGTTCACCAAAGGGGCCAGTCAGAAATTTCCAGCGTATCTGAAGCTATTGAAAACCACATATGTGCACAGTATATGCAAGATAAATATGTAGAGTAAATGTAGGTACCCTCAGTTCTGAATAATATACTGTATTTCAGTAATGCACTGTATTTAAGTCTTTAGAAATGACACTGGACCGTAAACCAGAAAATATCCCAAAGAAACAATGGTTACCACAAAGTCTCCCACTTTCTTATTCATATCAGCTTGTATTTATTTATTTATTTATTTTTTTTTTAGGAATGAAATTTTAAAGACATTCTTCTGTGAGTTTAAGAAATGGCCTTTTCCATAGCTGGATTATGAACTATTCGACTCATAAACCACTCTGGGTGTGTCCACGTCTTTTGGGTCTTCATAAGCATCTCACAGCTCAATGAAAGACAGTTTATACCCCAAACAAACACCTTTGTTCTCATCATCATTTTCCTCAGACTGAGGCGGAAGGTGCTGGTGGGGGTAGGTGAGGAGCCTTTGGTATTACATTTTTTAAATTTCTCTTAGTTCTGAGGGTCTCCAATGAACTGCCAATTTAAATCCTCTCAATATTCTGCTAAGAATGAAAACATCTATTTTTCATTATTACTGATACAGTGGCTTATAAGACTTCATCTCTGACTACACAACATTAACAAGAAAATAAAATTAAATATACAAAAACCTGCTTTACAGACAAATGAAGAATCATATCTAGTCAACTAGGTAAACCGTACATATACTTGAAATTCTTTGTAAAATCTGGAGTTCCAAGAGTTGTTAGAAGTTAAAAGAAATTGATATTCCTTAAGTGAAAATATAACTAACATTTACAAGGTCCTTACCATGGCCAAGCATTTTACTAATCACTTTATGTGGATTACCATCATTTAAAATTTAGAACAACAATTTGTGAGAGGTACTTCTGCCATCTACTTTTAACAGATAAAGAAAATGAGACTTAATCAGCCTAGGTAAGCCTTCCGGAATTCAAACAGCTGGCCAATGTAAAATGGGGTTCAAATCCAAGCAGTCTGACACCAGAGAATAGAACTAGGTAACTCTTGTGTTAAAACTAAAACAGAAAGTGCTTAGAGTAGGGCCCAACACAAGCAAATTCAGACAAAGGTGGATAAGGAGTAGATAAGCTGTGGGTGTTGGAGAACGGTTCCAGTAAGGAAACTCAAATAACAGAAACCACTCTGGCCTAAGCACTGTGATGAGCACTTCCAGTGATAAAGTGGAATATATTCTCCTTATTCCATTTATTGTATCACATCTTTCTGGAAGCAC